AGCACCTGCCTAGGCACAGGGAGGCTGAGCGCTGCTGCTGCTGCTGTTTCTACCTTTTGACTGTTGTCGGTAATTCTGCTATGAACTTGGGTGTATAAATATCTCTCTGAAACACAGTTTTCTATTCTTCTTGTATCTACCCAGAATTGGAATTGCTGGATCATATGATAATACTATTTTTAATTGTTTGAGGAACTACATTTTCTGTAGCAACTGCCCCATTTTACTAAAATACCAACTAGGCTTCCAGGATTTAATCATTCTTGCCAACACTTGTTGTTTTCTGTTTATGCTGATTTTTGATATTTGCCATCTAATAGATGTGAGGTCGTACTCTAGCATGAATTTAATGTGTAATTCTCTAAATATATAGTCTATTGAGCTTATTGGCTATTTGAACATTTCCTTGGAGAAAGGCCTACTCAAGTTCTTTGGCCATATTTTCAACTAGAAAATGTGTATGCTGAATATTAACCTCTATCAGATAAATGATTTTGCAGATATTTCCTCTCATTCTATAGATTGCCTTGTCATTCAAATGATTGTGTCCATTGATGCACAAAAGTTGTTTATTTTGATTTCCAGATCTGTATTTCCTGTTGCTTGATTTTTTGATGCTATATCCAAGGAATCATTGTCAAATCTTTGCCAGTCACAAAGATTTCCTCCAGTGTTTTTCGTTAACATTATTATGGATTTGGCTTTTTAATGCTCAGTTCTTTGATTCACTTTGAGTTCATTTATTTTTATAATGTAAGGCTAAAGTCTCGACTTTATTCTTTTGTATATCCAATCATTTCATCACCATTTGTTGAAAAGATTGTCCTTTTCCATGAAGTGGTCTGGACCCCATTATGGAGTATCATGTGAGCATATGTAAAAAAAGCTTATGACTGGGTTTTACATTCAGTTCCTTTGGTCTTTATGTAAATACCACATTGTTTTGCTTACTGTAAGTTTGTGATAAGTTTGAATTCATGAATTGTGACATCAGCTTTTTCTCTCAAGATTGTTTTGTCTACCTCAAAGTTCCTTGAGATTTCATATGAATTTTAGGATGGATTCTATTTTACTAATATACCACAGGTGACTAAATGTTTATCACATGTGAATAAGCCCATTTACTTATTTATAGGCACTTGTTTTGTTTCTAGCTTGTGCTGTAACATACATGTACAAATCTATGTGACCATTCATGTACAAATCTTTATATGGACATATGCATAGGAATAGATAACTCAAAGTGGGAATAAATTAAATTTTGGGTAAAAGTATCAGAGTGTTTTCCAAACTTGAAATAATTTACCTTCCAATTAGTAGTGAATAAGAGATGCATTTTATCTAGATTCCTGCCAACATTTGGTGACTTCACTATTTTTAACTTTTGCCATTTTGATAGGTATATATATATTTTAGTTTTAATTTACATTTTCCATATAGCTAGCGATGTTGAATATCTCTTTTTGGGTGTGGTTATCACCCCAATATATGCCTATCTGCATATATTCTTTGGTGACTAGCTCAAATCCTTTCTCCCATTTTGTTCAGTTGGATTGTTTAATTTCTGAATATTGAGTTCTTTATCTATTCTGAATACAAATCCCTTGTCAGATGTTTGCTCCCAGTCAACTGGAAAAAATGATAGCTTTTCTTCTTTCCCAGTCTGGATTCCTTTTATATCTTTCTATTACCTAACTGCTCTAGCTAGGACTTCCAATCCTATGTTAGAAAGTAGTGATGAGCATGGAAATTCTTGTATCAGATCTAGTGGAAAAATGTAATTTTTCAACAATGAAATGATGTTACCAGTAAATTTGTCATATGTTGCCTTTATGATAGGAGATAATCCTTTTATCCTCAGTTTTTTGAGGGCTTTTATAAATGGATATTGAATCTTACCAAATGCTTTCTTGGCATCTATTTATATGATCATATGATTTTTATCTTTCATTTTATTGATGTTGTGAATTATGTTGATTAGTTTTCAGATGTGACCCATCTTTGTGTTTCTGGAATAAATCCCACTTGGTCATGTTGGGTGATCCTTTTAATGTTTTTTTTTTTTTTAAATGCAATTTGCTAAGATTTGTTGAGGATTTTTGCGTTATGGAAACAGGCCTGAAATTTTGTATGTATGTGGTGGGGAGTGATGGGTATCTTTGTCTAGTTTTAGTATTCAGGTGATGTTGACCTCAGAAATGTGTTAATATTTTGGAAGAGTTTGGGAAGGGTAGGTGTGAGTTCCTCTTGAAGCATTTCTTTCTCCTTTCTGGCAAAACCACTATTTTGTATAGTGTTGCCTCATGTAGTCAGTTAATGATCTGCTTCCTCATTTTGTTTGTGCTTCCACCCATATTTCTGTGCTTTTTCACCTCTGAGGTCACTGACTTTACCTTCTGTTTGGTCTGTTTTACTTCTATAGCTTGCTCCAGAATTTACCTCCTCTGTTTATCTTTCTACATCTTGCATCTCTGTTATTTTCTTATTTAAAGCTTTGATTTCTGTCTTCTGTTTGCTAATTTTATTTCTCAGGACATTTCATTTCTGAGTGGGTGTGGGAGTCCTGCCCTTCTGAGCCTTGTCTTCCTTACCATCTTCCTGGCTCACTCTGGCGCCCTTGCCCTTATCTCACCAGGCTTAGATCTACATAATCAGCTCTGCCCTCTCCAGGTGTAAGTCCGACTGCAGTTTCTGCCCTCATAGATGCCTCTCCCTCACAGACCATTTTGTTGATTAGAGTTAAATTTCCACATCATCTTTTTCTGCTGTGGCTGATGAGTATTGGTTGTTGATACTCAGGGCTGTTCTGGTTTTGCCCTCAGTCACAGGATTCTCTGAGTTCAGTACATTTCTCAGCTTTTCTAGTTTATTCTTTGGGAACCTCCTCTGTGCTTCTACAAGCACCTCTCCCCCCCCCCCCAACAAACCATTATCTTTCTCTTTCCAAGACATTATGAAGCCCTAGCATAGTTTTCAACAAATAATTTTCTAGTAACAAAATTCTGCAGACATCAGGCAGAATTATGCTACATGAAATGAAAGTATATGTAGTAAGTGTGAATACACTTAGTATCTTGATAACTAAAAATACTATTTTATAGAGAAATTGTAAAAGCATTAAGTTTGGTAGTCTGTTTTCTATTTTTAGAATTAGATTGAATTTGAGGCTAGTTAACATAAAAGCATGTTTCTTCCAAATCTTAAATTTTAGTAAAGTTAAGTAACCTTCCCTCCTATTGCTCTCTTCCATAGTGTTGTTCAATACTTTCACTATGAGTAATATCTAACTTCCTGAGGTAGCACATTTGCCTCCCTTCTTTGTGTCTGCTTCTAAGTTTATTTGCTTTGAGTTAAAATATGGCTTCCTGAACAATTTGTATATAATTATCTCCATTGAACAATTAAAAATAAAAGTTCCTATTCCAGGCAATCTGTAATTTTAGCTTAGATGAGAATTGCATATTATCTGTATTTTATTATTGCAAATGTTTTTTTTTTTTTTTAAAGATTTATTTGTTCATACAGAACTGGGGTACAGGCCAGAAGCTCAGGGGTGGCGAGAGGCTTCACCAGAGACAGAGTGGGGAGCAGAACAGGCACATCCACGAAGTACACTGCTGAGGGGAGCAGCAGGCGGGCCAGGAGAGATCCGCCACGGCATGTGGTCACCACCGGGGCAGGCGGGAATCGAACTCATGGGGAAGTGGCTTTAGCTTCTCAGTGTTGTGCTTTAACTGGCTACGCCACCAGGGAGGGCCTATTGCAAATGTTTTAAAAATAAAATTTTGTTTACTGTTTTGCTTTACAGTAGCTATATATTTTGAGAGTACAGTATCACACCTCTGTATTTTTGCCTTACCATATATACCACTACATTTTTAGTGCCTTTCATAACTAGCAAATTTACCCCATACTTCCTGGTGGCTTAGTGTTTAAGTCTCAGTGCTGTCACTGCAATGGCCCACCTTGGTCTGAGTTCCGTTCCCAATCAGGGAGGTGACCCACATGGTGCAGTAGACCTTTCCTGTTTCATCTACTGTTCCCCTCAGCAGTGTATTTTAATAAATCTGTCCACTTTGCTCTCCATTCTGTCTCTGAAGAATCCTCTTCCCTTCCCCCAGCCTCTAGCCTGCACCCCATTCTTCTATGCAAAAAAAAATAAAAATCTTTCAAATTTACCCCTTTACCATTTTTCCCACCACACTATCCCTTTCCTTCTAGAAACCTTTGCTTCCCAGAGTCTAAAAGTTATTTTGTTGTATTTTGTTAGTTCCATTGCTTTGAATATTTATATTCCAGATTGAATTATAACAATCCAGTAATTGTCTTTTACTTTGACTTATTTTGCTTAGCATAATCACCTCAGCTTCCAAACATACTGTCACAGAAGGCAAGATTTTATCATTTTTAATAGCTGAGTGGTATTCCATTGAGTACAACACAATGTGTGTTTTTTTCCCTAATATATATTATCTTTACTAGTGGAGCCCCTTCTCTCATTTTTTTTTTCTCCTCATACTTTACATATGCCTTGTTCACCAGCTCCGTCATATGGATTTGCTTACCTGAAGTCAAGTAGTATACAGTTCTTACTCTGATATTTGAAAATTTATAGTTGCTTTTATCCCAAGTTGAAAATATAAAGTAACTTCACAAAAAAAGTAGCTTGGCCCTCCCTGGTGGCGCAGCGGGTTAAAGCACAGCACTGAGAATCTAAAGCCGCTTCCGCATGAGTTCGATTCCCGCCTGCCCCGGAGGTGACCCACATGGCGTGGCAGACCTCTCCTGACCCGCCCGCTGCTCCCCTCAGCAGTGTACTTCGTCGGTCTGCCTGTTCTTTTCCCCACTCTGTCTCTGGTGAAGCCTCTTACCACCCCTGAGCCTCTGGCTTGTACCCCAGTTCTGTATGCACAAATAAATAAATCTTTAAAAAAAAAAAAAGTAGCTTGACTTTTTTGTATCTTCTATTATCTCTTATTTTATAATTTTTTTTAATGTAGATATTGTGTGGACAGTAATGACCTCACGTTTCCGGTTGCCTGCTGGCAGAACCTACAATGTACGAGCATCTGAGTTGGCCCGAGATAGACAGCACACAGAGGTGGTTTGCAACATTCTTCTTCTGGATAACACTGTACAAGCTGTCAAAGTTAATGTAAGTATTTTATGTCTTTAAAAAACCCTCTGCAATTATAAATCTGAATTTAAATTTTATTTTAAGGTAAAAATTTGATTGTACTATATATAGTTTGTAAAGTATATTTTATGCAGAAAGTTCTTGAGTATAGGGTTTTTTTTTGTTTTAAATTTGTTTTTTATTTCATTGCTTTTTATTTTTACCAAAAGAACCACTTCCTTATTTCAGATGTAGGAAGTGAAGCTTGTCTTGTCATTAAGAACTGTTCTCAGACTCTTGTTCTTGTTTTGTGAAAATACAAATATTTCCAATAACTGTAACCTCATTCATTCCTTGTCCAGTTCTCACAGACTGTGTCCAGTCCCTGGAGACTGTTTCTATGGGTAGTTATTTTGTCCATTGTGTGATGTTTATTTTTTCATTCATTTTACCCGTGTGTGGTTTTTTGTTTGTTTGTTTGTTTTTAAAGATTTATTTATTTGTGCATACAGAACTGGGGTACAGGCCAGAGGTGTAGGGGTGGTGAGAGGATTCACCAGAGACAGAGTGGGGAGCAGAACAGGCAGATCATTGAAGTACTCTGGTGAGGGGAGCAGCGGGTGGGTGAAGAGAGGTTGCTGCACCATGTGGGTCACCTCCGGGGCAGGCGGGGATCAAACTCATGTGGAAGTGGCTTTAGCTTCTTAGTGCTGTGCTGTGCTGTGCTTTAACCCCCTGCGCCACTAGGGAGGGCCCAGGTCTGGGTTTTTAACTACCAAGTTAAAAGTTATGACTCAAACTGGATCTTTTAAAAGAATTGACAAATCAGCAGTGCATTATTAGTAGAGCAGATTAGTAACATATGGATGGTTTTTATAAAGCTGCTTAAGGGTACTTGAAAACAGTTTGCTCTCCTAAATAATTTATAGGTTTCTAGTGTAATTTACTGTAATGTCTGTGGGTCGAATTTTTGCTATACAGAGATAAATGACATCCCTGAGCTTGTCTGAGTCTTACCTGAAATATTTATTCAACAGATACTTCTTCATCCTATTTGTGTTTAGTTTATTTCATTAATATTATTTGCGAGTTATACCCTTGTGGTATGTTCATAGTAGTTGGTTCATTTTGCTGCTGGATAGCTCTCCCTTTTATGAACATGCTACAATTTACATGTCCGCTTATTTACCATCATATACTTGTTAAGTTTACTGTTGGTGTACACTTACATTGGTTACATTTGGGCTTTAACTAATAATGTTGTTCTGGATACTCTCAGACAGGTTTTGATTAATATTAGGGTATATTTCTCTTTTTTATTTAAAAAATTCTCAAGCCTACTGAAAGTGTAAAGCCTTAACTGGGATTTGAACACCTGTATGACATTTATGCATCCTTGGCTTGCTCCAATATAATGGCTGCGTACCTTTTTGATATGGCCTTGGAAGTCGCATAAACCCATTTCCATAATTTTGTCAGGACTCTCTAAACAGTATCACACTCAAAATTAAGCAAAGTTTCTAGAAACAAGGTTCTAGAAGATCATGTGTGGCTGGAGATATTGTGATGGTCTTTCTAGGAAAGCACAGTCTGCCGGTATGTTCCCCAGTTGGAAACATCCATCACCCATCTTATTTATTTATTTATTTTTTTAAAGATTATTTACTTATTCATACAGAACTGGGGTACAGGCCAGAGATGCGGAGGGTGAGAGTGGGGAGCAGAACAGGTAGATCATCAAAGTACA